ATGATGGATATGTGGTTGGTTACCTCGTTCACGGGGAGATGGGGTGTTGACAAACATGCTGCTTCTTGTTCGCTTCTGCTCAGTTCGATGAATGATAATCTGAAAAAAATCTGAATTATCAGAAATCATCGACTTCATGTTGATTATAGACCCTATCTTGCACTGACGAGTGGCCAAATAACCCGAAATCGGTCTGCAAGTGTGTTCCAATAATTGAAAATTGATTCCGGAAGTTGTATTGGCAACAGCTTGTGCAGGAATAACTTCAGTGAAAAATCCTGCACTGACTTCTGTCGGATATAATCCAATGTCCTTCGTGGTATTACCCAGGGGAGTCGTTGTTCTCTGATAGATGTTAGTCCATTTAACTACATTATAGGTAATCTACGACTGGCCTAAACTAATTGTCCTTCCAGATAATTTGATTTCTATCGGTTGAACACAGTACACATGAAATTGCTCACTGTTACTTCATTTTAGATTCAGAAATTGTTTCATTTGTATGAATTTTTTCTTATTCAACAAGTACATTCACATGCTTTATTTCTATGCCATCACGATGAATAAACAATTTTTACTCGTGAATCATACTTATTTGATCTATTTATTTTGTAAGTGATTTGAAACAGTATGTTTCATTTAAATTGACATGAAGGGGTTGTATTTTGAACAATATCATTCTCAGTTTCACTAATGAATTGATACTGGATTGCGAAATTTTATTGTCAATTCAACAAACTATTCATGATCGAAGAGAAAAATACCCAGTCATTTGAATAAAGGGTGTAAATGAATTCAACAGACGATTCTTCAGGTAATTTTAAGACGAAATGTTCATTGAAAACCAATGTGGCCTTACGGACGGGATTGCCGGACTTCTGGTCAATGGCAAAAATAAGTTGCGTGAGGGAAACTAAAACTCCCCAAAAGCCACTGCGAAACATGCCACCATGGACTAGCCTACCCAAACTAAGGTACCGACAGCTGAATGGCCGCAGGGTGATATGCGGTTACGAACGATCCCCTTGGGGAACCGGGCGAAACCCGCCTTCCTCTGATAATGCGGGTCTCTGTCAGAGGTGACCAACTCTTCCCTTCCTACTCGTGGGAACACGCATGGATACAATAAAAAAAAAACAAACAATCCAGAGGCTGGACAGAAATGTTCACCTCAATCTATGGCAGATCACGTCGTAACGCAACACAAAGGCCAAGGCGTGAGCGCATTTGCAGCGCCGAGGCCAAAAGGAGAAAGTGAGCGAAAGAGGCAGGAATGGCAGCAACTATAAGTGCACCCTCCTCCTCTTCCACTCCATCTCCAACAGCAAGGGCAGTACCTGCGACGAGCGCCAAGAGCTCCGCTTTGAATGAAGGCAAGGAACTGGCTGCCCCTGCAGAAAAGCACCCTCACGTGGGGGAACCCCAAGAAGATTGAAGAAGCAGCGCAACGACAGTAATGTCGCTGCATCTTCCAAAACCTTCGTGGAGGCCGCCTTGAGACACCTCAACGTTGCCATCATAGATGAGACTAACCCGTACGGTTAGGTTACCGCAGAACGGGAGAGTCTTATCAAAAAAACAACTGCTAGTGGTGCTTGACAAGATCATCTCCTTCGCCTCCAGCAGCAACAGCAAACTGCCCACGTTCAGGTCGTGGACATATCCGGTGAAATCAGCAAGAGTGGTCTGCGATGACGACGTGACGCTAGAGTGGCTGAAGAAAGCCACAATGAATATCTAGCCGTGGGTGGATGTATCACTTGCGGTCGTCAGTGTGGATAAGCTCCCAAAGCTTACCAAATCCTCACTCTGGATCCCGGAGGACGTCCACAAGACGACATCCGGTGAAAAAGAGAGGGTGCTGGGTCGGCTGAAGGCGCAGAACCCTGACCTGACAGTAGTAAGATGGTGCACTTTCCACCGTGAGGTGAAGGTGAACCCAGAAGGACATCTCTTCGTCTTCGGGATCGGAGACTATGATATGGCTGTCCTAAAGAAGAAGTCGATGTTGATAAGCTACGCGTTCAGATCATTGACTCTAAAGGTAACACGAAAAGAAGCAGAGGTACCTCTGGAGACCCTAGGTCCTTGGAAGTCGAGTGACCGAAAGTGGATATTTATCCCAAGGCCACCATGGGTTCGGAAAAGGAAGTTGAAGCATCTGAACAGACGACAGGCGATGACCTGACGGAGGAGGTACTCAGAAACAGCGAAGCGGCCTCCCCTCTAGCGGGGTAGCAGATGAACCTCTAAAAGTAACTTTAAATCCAACAACTGTCTCATGGGCAAGGACGTTAGAAAAAAGATGAAAATAATACAATGCAACCTTCAGCACAAAATGGCGGCAAAGGAAACACTGTGTCGCCACCTTGATGTATTGGGGGAGGCAATAGCTTTGATCCAGGAGCCCTGAATAATGAAGAACAAAGTTACTGCTTTCAGTAGCCTAACTGGTAAAATTATCAGCTCACCAAGCAATCAGCAACCTAGGACAGCTGTTTACTTTCTTAGGAATTACAGAGCCTTTCCGATGGCACAATTCAGTACCTCATACCTCACTGCGGTTAAAGTGGAATATCCAGATGGAAGAGGCAAATATACGGCGTTGATACTCGCATCAGTGTACCTCCCTTCATATGCAGCCACCGGCCAGAGAATTGGAGGTACTGGTGGATTACTGCTTCTACCAGAGAATGGTAGAGGTGCTTGCCCTAGCTCAAGTGGTGAGACTCAAAGTCTCATCACAATTATTAGAAACATTTTGTACGAATTGGGCAAAATAGTTGATTATTTCATCGGGATATGAGAGGTGATTGGGTATGAGTTTTTTC